ACTATTCCTTTGTGTTTGGACATGATAATCCCAATACCTACTGCACTTAGTCAGTTTCAACTCACAGAATCCCTAGAGGACAGAGTTGAACTGCTCCTTAGGATTGACAGGATTCTAAATCATTACATGAACAGACAGCATCATTTTCTCCCCCAAGCAGCTGGTGGGTTTAAACTGCCAACATTGTAGTTATAAACCTAATGCTTAACCTACAGCAACACCAGAATTCCTTATTTAAATAAGATCACTTGTAAAATTTAATTTAAAAATGATCTTTCCTAGAAAATTACTCATGGGTATAAGATAAACATATGTACCTGTGTATTGTTCCAATACTGGGCATCTGTTATATATATATATATAAATTCTGATGTGGTGCTATAGGAGATGCAATAGACTACTTATCAAAAGTTCAGCAGCCAAACCCACCAGCTGCTCCAAGGAAACCCTATATGTTGTTGTTGTTATGTGCTGTCAGGTTGTTTCTGATTCACAACTGGTTTCTGAAGAAAGCAGAAAGGCTCATCCTTCTCCTAAGGAGTGGCTGATAAGCTTGATCTGCTGATTTTATGGCTCACAGTCCAGTACTTATCTTATATAGTCACCATGCGCCCAAGGAAACCCTCTAGGGCATGTAACAACAACAACATATGCCCATTCGATCTAATTAGTTTATGGTGTTAAGTCCTGTATGTCCTAATTTGTTTTCTTTAGAGATTTTATTGTCCGGTATTGAAAGTATATTAAAGTCCCCAACTAATATTGTACGGTTGTCTATAACTCTTTCAGATTTTTCATTATTTGTTTTATATATTATGGGACTAAGATGTTAGGTGTATAAATATTTATAATTGCTGTAACTTCTTGATAGATTGCTTTTTATTATGTAAATTCTTTCTTAATTTTATAAAGCAGATTTTGATTTAAAATCTACTTTTTCAGATATTGGTGAGGCTACCCCTGTGCTCTTTTTGATACTAGTTGCATGGAATATTGATTTTCATCCTTTGCTAGATTATATTAGAAAAGTTTGTTTGGGTCTGTGGGACTAGGTTGCATGTCTTGAAGACAGCATGAGAAAAAAAAAAAACATATATATATATATATATATATGTTTTTTGTTTTTTTTTTAAACAAAATCTATACTTCCATTCTCCACTTCAGGATGGTGGTAGTTAGTGGTTATGGCCATGGAGTCAGTTGGAACGCATAGCAACTGCATAAAGGATTTCTGAGACTGTAAATCTTTAGGGGGCAGAAAGTCTCATCTTTCTCCAGTGGAGTGGCTGGTAGATTTGAACTACTGAACTTGCAATTAGCAGTCCAGCTTGTAACCCACTATACTACCAGAGCTCCTTTTACTTCAGAATATAAGGTTTAAACCATTTACATTTAAGGAAATGACTAAAAGCAATTTTTCCAGTTTCCTTTTTATGTCTCTCATTTTTTTTTTCTTTACAATTTCCTCACTTGTATGTGTTTACTTGCTTTTTGGTGTATGCTCAGGTTGTTGTTTTTGTTGTTGTTTAATTTCTCCCTTCTTGTCTTACGTGTATATATTCTAGACATCCCCAAATATTAGCTTTAACAGCTTACAATTGCATCAACTTATTTTAGCCTGAAGTTAACATTTAACATACAAAAAAAAGTTAGCATACACTATAAACAAACTCCTATTTTTACTTTACTCCTTTCTCCCTCATCTTTGTATATCTTATGTCTGCTAGGTTTCATTTGTACTTATATCTCAGACATTTAATATTATACTGTTGCCAGTCTTACCTTTTAAGTTTAGCACTTGCTCATGGTGTTATCTTTATTGGAGTTCACTTTATGTCTTTTTATTACTATTATTATTAAGTCCCCATGTGCAGATTCCAGTATCTGTTAAGTGTTATTTTTCCATATGAGAAACTACCTAAGTAACTCTTGCAAAAAGGTCTTGTATTAACAAATTCTCACAACTCTTAATTATTTGGGAATTTTTAATTTCACCTTCATTTTTGAATGATAACATTTCTGGATAAAGAATTCTTGGTAGAAAAGTATTTTCTGTGAATACTGTGTATATCTTCCTATTGCCTTAATGTCTCCAGGATTTCTGAGGATATATTCGTACAAATGCTTATCAAGATTTCATTAATTGTTATACTGTACCTTCTTATCTTGCTACTTTCAGACCTCTTTCTTGTCTTTGTTATTTAAGCATATTTATAATAATATTTTTATAGTAAGTCTTATCCTGTGCATTATGTGTGGAATTGTTCTAGAGTCTAGATTTTGAGGGTTCAGTTCCTTATTCAGTTCTGGGGAATTCTCTGTCATTGTATCTTAGAAAATTATTTCTATTGCTTCCAATTTTTCTGAAATTCCCAAAATACATATTGAATTTCTTGTGTTCCATAATTCCATTTGACATGTTCACGTTTCTTTGTCCTGTTCTCTTGTTTTTCTTGAGATATTATAAATTTGAATTCCTGGTGTGGCATCATAGGATCAGCACTTGACTGAACCACAAGTTCAGCAGTTCAGACCCGTCAGCTGCTCCTTGAAAAACCCACACAGGGTCACTATGAGTCAGAACTGACTCAATGACACTTAACAACAACAAGAACATAACATTTAGTTACCATATATTCTACTTTCTTTATTTTGTATTTTGTCTGTTTTGATCTGTTATTGAATTCCTCCCTTGTGTTTTCCCGATTCAGTTATTTCATTCATGACTTCTAGTATTTCTCACTATTTTTAAAAACTTTTTTCTAACATCCTTTGAGTGTTTCATTTGTTTCTTGATCTCAAGTATTATGTTTTCTTTGTATTCTTTAAATCTTAGAATTATTTTTTTAACACTGTTGTCTGGAAGTTCTCTATTTTCTCACTAATCTGATCTCCATATATTAGTGTTCATTTTTCCTGTTTTTTTTTTTTTTTTTTTTCGTAGTTGTTTTGTTTTTTAATTGGGTAATTATCTTTTGTTTTCTTATATACCTTATAATTTTTTATTTAACCTGTGGAAGTTGAGTGTTATAGTAATAATGGGATTAAGAATATTCTTTTTCCTCAGATAACATGCTGTTGTTTGCTTATTCTTTACTTTTTATTTTCTGTCTCTTTCCCAAAAATCCATTAGAGGACATTCTTGCCTTAAAGTTGTCCAGCATTGACTCAATTGATCTGGAGATTTGTGCTCCCCTCACTTCTTCTGTATCAAGGCCAGACATTTTCTTCATTTGTGTTTCATAGGCTGTGATTGAGATTCCCCACTTGGATGGCAATGGAACAGCAGTCTCTCTTGGGCTAAAGTGGAAGACTTTCCTGCCACTTGAGATTTGGAGAATGGTTTTCACCCTGTGGTTTCCTTTTTTTGGTTGACTTCAGAAAATTATTTGGAGTTTGGAGAACTGGACTTTTGGTGGTGGTGGCGGTGTGCTGTGGAATCAGTTCCGACTCATAGTGACCCTGTACAGGGTTTCCGAGGCTGTAAATTTTTACGGGAGCAGAGTGCCTTATCTTTCTCCCATGGAGCAGCTGATAGTTTCAAATGGCTGACGTTGAGGTTAGCAGCACAATTCATATTGCTGATGTCTCATGGATCTTGGCCAAAAGCAGAGAATATCAGAAAAATGTTTACCTGTGCTTTATTGACTACACCAAGGCTTTTGATTGTGTGGATCATGACAATCTATGGATAACATTGCAAAGTATGAGTATACCGGAACACTTAATTGTGCTCATGAGGAATCTGTACCTGGACCAAGAGGCAGTTGTTAGAACAGAACATGGGAACCTGAATGGTTTAAAATTAAGAAAGGTGTGCGACAGGGTTGTCCTCTTTCACCATACTTACTCAACTTGTATGCTGATGAAATAATCTGAGAAGCTGCAAAATGTTATATGAAACCTTTATAAGAATTTTGTTTTGGATTTAAGGAAAAGTAATGCATGTCTTAAAGATATGTGACTTTCCAAGACAGAAAAATTTAGTGAATCTTAGAGCCAGGATTAGAATACATTTACAAATAAAATATTAATTTCCTTTTAAAAGAAAATTATATTTTAAAACAAAATATGTTTTTTTTGGTGATGTGAGATATTAATTTAACTTAATTCTAATTTTTAAATTAGACAATGACATGCTTAAGAATGAACATCTTACACTATTGCTAAACTCCTCTATGTTTACCCATTGAACTCAGAAAATTAATATTTCTGTTCTCTTTCTTAACTCCGATATTCTGTAATATTCCTGGTGCTAACTAATAATGTAGATTCTGTGGAATAAATTCCTGGTGATTTGTTTTTGTAAAGATTATCATCAAGAAAATTCTATGGGTTTATTCTACTCTAACACATGGGGTTTATATAAGAATGATTCAACAGCAGAGAGTTTGATTATTTTTGTATTTAGAAGTGTAAACCACGTTGGATAAAGTAACACCATATTTTCTTTTAATAAGGTTGTATGTTTTTCTTAGAAAAGCCTAAGTGTATGTGATATATATATAGATGAAGCCCTGGTATGGTCCTGTGGGTTAATGCACTGGACTGCAAAGGTTGTTTGAACTGCAAAGTTGGAGGTTCACGCTTACCAGCTGGTCCCTGGAAACCTTATACAGGGTCATTATGGGTTGGAACTTACTTGATGACACTTGACAATAACACCAACATATATATATATATATATATAGTTTTCATGTGTTAAGTGGTGTCAAATCACTTCTGACTCATAGGGGCCCTGTATAGGGTTTCCAAGGAGTGGTTGGTGGATTTCAACTGCTAACCTTGTGGTTCAAACTGACCTTGTAATCCAGTGAAGCATTATTCTGCAGAGCCACACCAGGACTCTCTCTCTCCTCTGTTTCTATTTATACACACATTTGTGAGTCATTTTTAGTGAACCAATAACTTTAGTAACTTGGCTTACTAAATGTATCACTTGGCTTAAAAAGATAGTATGGCACTTAACTACTGGGATTTTGTGGTTTTGTTTTTTGTAGGTGCTCCCAGTGACCAGAGCAGTGGCACCTCCTCACCTCTTTGTGACAGTGGCTTACATCTCAACTACCATCCCAATAATACGGTAAGATTATTAAGGAGATAACATAAAGAAAATGCATTAATAATATATAAATTTATAATTGGCAAAAACTGAAATAAAATCTGGCTCATCCAGTAGACTTAAAACCGTTGGTTGCTATGTCATTTAAATATTATGACTGGCAAGAAAAGAAAAAAAGTAAGTCAGTTATTTCTTAGTTATTTGTGGCATAGTGGACTCACATGGTCAGAGGTTCAAATCAACCAGCTACTCCTCAGAAGAAAGATGAGGTTTTCTGCTTCTGTAGAGATTTATAGCTTTGGAAACCATATACAAAGTTTCCTTAAGACAGAACCGACTTGGTACTCAGCAATAACAGCAAAATCTATACTAAGCCCTTAGTAGATTGTAAAGACTTTTAACTTCAGGATACCACACATCACATCACATAATCATTTTATAATATTCCATAGTAGTTGGAATTTTATGCTCTAAATAATTTTATATGATTTTTAATTTTTTTTACTTGGAAATTATTAATTATTTAGCTATATGTAATTATTTACAACTATTCATTGGTCCTACCACTCATCTGTTAATTTGTCATACTATGGTGGCTTGTGAGTTGCTGTGATTCTGGAAGCTATGCCATGAGTATGTTAAATACCAGCAGGATCACCCATGGTGGATAGGTTTCAGATGAGTTTCCAGACAAAGACAGACAAGAAAGAAGGAGAGATGAACTACTTCTGAATATTTAGTCACTGAAAACCTTATGAATAAAAGAGAAACACTGTAAGATATAGTGCCAGAAAATGAGCCCCTCAGGTTAGAAGGCACTCAAATGCGAATGGGGAAGAGCTGCCTCCTCAAAGTAGACTTGACCATGATGACACAAATGGAGTAAAATCCTCTGAAGTAAATAAAGCCCTCGGGACCGTCATTTGCTGATGGGACACAACTCAAAATGAAGAGAAATAGCTGTAAACATCCATTAATAATCAGAACATGGAATGTATGAAGTATGAATCTAGGAAATTTAGAAATTGTCAAAAATGAAATGGAATGCATAACCATCAATATCTTAGCCATTAGTGAGCTGAAATGGACTGGTTTTGGCCATTTTGAAACTGACAACCACATGGTTTACTATGCTGGGAATGACAAATTATAGAGAATGGTGTTGTTTTCATTGTCAAAAAGAACATATTCAGTCATGAGGTCCAACTCTGTCTGTGGTAGGATAATACCCATGCGCCTACAGGGAACACAAGTTAATACCACTGTTATTCAAATTTACACATTAACCGCTAAAGCCAGGGAGGATGAAATAGAAGAATTCTACCAATTTCTTCTATCTGAAATTGAGCAAACATGCAATCAAGATGCATTGATCATTACTGGTGATTGGAATGCAAAGGTTGGAAACAAAGAGGAAGGATCAGTAGTTGGAAGATAATGGCTTTGGTGATAGAAATTATGCTGGAGAAAGCATGATAGAATTGTGCTAAACCAAAGATTTGTTGATATCAAATATCTTCTTTACACCTCATAAGAGATAATTATACACATGGACCTCACCAGAAGGAATACACAGAAATCAAATTGACTGTGGAAAGAGATGGTAGAAAAGTTCCATATCATCAGCCAAAACAAGGCCAGGGGCAGATTGTGGAACAGACCATCAATTGCTCATATTCAAATTCAAATTGAAGCTGAAGAAAATTAAAACAAGCCCAGGAGAGCCAAAATATTACTTTAAATATATCCTACTTGAACTTAGAGATCATCTGAAGAAAAGATTTGACACATTAAACACTAAAGTCCAAAGACCAGAAGAGTTGTGGGATGACATCAAGAACATCATACATGAAGAAAGCAAAAAGTCATTAAGAAGACAAGAAAGAAGGAAAAGATCAAAATG